AACAAGTATGTGCTGTTGGCTACAGATTACTTTACTAAGTGGGTGGAAGCAGAGTCGTACCCGAGCGTAACTCAAACTCATGTGAGACGGTTCATTTGGAGTAATATTATTTGCCGGTTTGGTGTTCCGAGGTCAATCGTCATGGATAATGGGACCAACCTTGATAGCAAGCAAGTAAGAGAGTTGTTGGAGGAATATGGAATTAATCAAAAGCTAGCAGCAGTAAGTCACCACCAGGCCAATGGACAGGCAGAAATCACAAATAGAACAATCTTTGCTTGTATCAAGAAGAAGCTTGAAGAGAAGAAAGGAAAATGGTTAGATGAACTGTCGAATGTCTTATGGGCTTACAGAACGGCCCCAAGGCGACCGACCGGAGAAAGCCCATTCGCCATGGCGTATGGTACCGAGGCAGTTATACCGGTCGAGCACTTGGTTCTGACTGTTCGAAGCTTGGCATGGAGCCGAGAGCATAACGACAGTATGTTGAGGTTTAACCTCGATATGCTGGAGGAAAAGAGAGATGCAGCGGCAATAAGGCTCGCATCCTACCAGCAGACGCTTGCGAATAGCCATAACAAAAAAGTAAAACACAGAGACTTTACACCAGGTGATCTGGTTCTAAAAAAGAAGGTGGGGATAGTCAAAAAGATGATGCCACCATGGGAAGGTCTATACAGAATTGCAGAAGTCATAGGAAAGGGGGCATATACCCTAGAGACCATGGCCGGAAGGTTGGTTAACAAGCCTTGGAATGCTACTTCTCTGAAGAGGTATTATCAATAAAAAGTTGAGTTTCAAAGTTGAATTTTGTTCATTTTCAATTGAATTCAGGCGAATGTATAAGTTTATGAGATTTATAAAAATAATATTCCTCTTTAAGAGATTGATTAAGTAAAAATAGTAAAGCCAAGTGGCAAGTGGCATTCTAGTCGAGCGCCAAGCACTTAAGCAAAGTAAGTGGCAGCTGGCACGATGAGCCGTACGCCAAACACTTGCTAAGAAATAAAAAGCCAAGTGGCAAGTGGCATTCTAGCTGAGCGCCAGGCACTTAAGCAAAGTAAGTGGCAGCTGGCACTATGAGCCGAACGCCAAACACTTGCTCAAAAACAAAAAGTAAGTGGCAGCTGGCACTATGAGCCGAGCGCCAGACACTTCAGCAAAGTAGATAAATGTGAAGCTGGTTGTTACCACCCATGCACAGATAAAGTCAATGTTTTTGTCATCTCATTCATGATATGGTCTGAGGTTACAAAAGATAATGTATACAGATGACATGACTACAAAAAAGCAAGAAATTAAAGTATCAGAAGAGTCCTAGCTAGCTGCCTCTGTTCTGTCAGCCTCCTGATTGTGCTGACTCGCCTCTTCACTCTCATTGGTCGTCCCATCTTCATGAGGTGGGGAGTCGAGATTGACAACTGAATCGTTCTGTTGGGGCCCAATCTCAGTAGCGGTTGAGGAAGGGACCATAGTGGATAGAGGAAGAACATCCAGAGGTTGAACGACAGAGGGGGCTGGAGTGATCCTGGAAGAAGCAATCTCCTGACACTCATCAAAAATGTGTTCAGCAGGAGTGGAGTCTGGATCAACATAGACTCCTGGAGGATCAATTTCTAGATCCTTATCAACTTCTTCCGGAGTGGAACCGGTCTGTCCGTCGGCAGGAACACGGTCGGAAAAACCTTTTCGGCACCCCTGAGCATACCTGAGAGCCCCAACCCTTGAAAACCGAGCGTGAAGAGCCAGCATGCCACCATTCACCTTGTTGATGGTGTTGAGCAGAGCATCACGCTCATCCAGGGCTCTCTTCTCGAAGGCCATCCGAGCGGACTGCTCGTCAGCCAGAAGGCGTTGGAGTTCTGCTTTTTCATCTTTGACTTTGAGCGAATTGCGCTTGGTCTGTCAAACGCTCCTCTCAAGTTGAAAGGCATCCCTTTCATCCTGAAGAGAATCGGTTTCCCTTTTCAGAGCGTCTTTCTCTTTTTCAATTTTGCCAAGCTGGACAAACAGTTCCGTGTTTTTGGTGGCGAGGATGTTATTTTCTTTATGGGCCACTTCGAGGCTGTCAGAGAACTTTCGAGCCTTGGCATTCCCTATTTCCACCTGCTTTTGCATGGCCATCATACCGAACAGGGTCTGCAGAGATATGCATGAACACTGGTTAAACCGATCGCATGGTCAGAAGAGGTTAAGCATAAAGATTATGTCAAGATTTGCTGATTGGGAGATAAAAATTACCTCCATGGCAGATAAGGGAAAGTGGCTGAACACCTCCTTCTAAGATAGACCTTTGGCTGTTTCAATGTCCTTGGGAGTTCACATGTTCCTGTAATATGCCATAGCGGTCTGACCAACCTTGAACATGGTCTCGTTCGGTATCACGAATGTCCCATCCATTCCGGCGAATCGAGGAGTCCATGGTGCTGTTGCAGACGCAGAAGCTGAAGCAGCAGCTGTAACAGGCCCAGAGTGGGCAGGAGAACTGACTGGGCGATGCAAGAGTGTACCTGGCCCAGAGATTTGGATCCTCCTTGTAAAAGATGCATCATTAAGGTTGACTGCACTGTCGGGATGAGGCCTTTTGCCTCGCTCTTTATCCTAAGCACCCGCAATAACAACAGAAGTAGTATTGACCTGAGGAGATGCATTCGGATTGGTAGAAGGAACGCTAACGGCAGGATCAGCAGCCACTACGTTCGGAATGGTGTTAGAAATAGTTGCCGAAGAAGAAGCCGAGGCAGGAGAAGAGGTTGCCGCAGCAGCCGCAACAGTGACTCAGGGAGGGTTCTTCCTCCTGCCAAAGGAAGGAATCTGGAGCTGGCTCATTGCGTTTCCGAGGGCTGAAATTGCGAGAAAGTTGTCTGAGGTAAGGAGGTCTGAGCAAGAAGGAACGTTGTTCAGAACGTACTTCTTCAAGTAATTATCCCTATCCCTGCAAACACTATAGCTCAAGTCATCACAAGGAATGCCTAAGGAACGGCACAAGAAAGTACAAAAGCGAGGAACACAAATTTCGCAGGGACAATCGTTCTTATGTGTTTTGAATTTCTTATATGAAGAGATAGAACACACGCCAAAGGCGCTCGGGATTGGATAACCCTCTGCAGCTGGAGAAGACCAGGCCCCCCAAACCCCTACTATGTTGTTTCTCCAACCCTTTTCAGACTTGATTGTGTCTCTACATATGGACATCTTTTCAATCGGGTAGAGGTGGTAGAATGGTTCCTCAAGTCGGATCTTACTAACCTTGTAACAGAGAAGAATATCTATGATATCAAGATCCAGACCTCTGTCATGAGTCAGTAGTAGCAGAACGGATATGATCCTAAAAAAATTTGGATTTACTTGCAGAGGGGAGATCCCTAGTCTGTTGAAAACATAGTTAAAGAAAGGATGCAAAGGGAACCTAATGATATTCAACTGAAGATGGGTAAACAAGACTTTGCCGGGAAGAAGGCCAGCACCAGTCCTGATATCCACATCTTTAGGGCAGTTTCTAATTTCTATATCGACAGGGAGATGAAGTTTCATGCGAAGAACATCTAGATCTACAGGCATGGTGAATATGAATGAGGATTTTAAGGGAGAAAAAGTGATCTTCCAAAAGAAAAAGGCAAACGAAACTAACCTCAGAAGGAGAAAACGTAGATTACTGTAAGATTGCTGGAAAAAGGAGCTTTCGCAGAGGTTTGCCGGAGGAGATTTGATTTGACTAAAAGAAAAAGGGGCAAACGAAGATCTGGCTAACAGCGATGCAAGATAGAGACAGTAAAAAAGGTTTGGGGGAACGTCTCTGATACTTATAAGGACAAAGTGGGCCCGAAGGTCGAAGCGCCAGGAAAACGAGGAGTTTCTTTGGAATCTCGAAGCATCGGTTTAGATCTGACCGTCCATTTTCCCACGAGGTCTTCTTGAGCCGTCAACGTCATGATTGGCCGCCGAATAATAATTACCCCCTTATTTATTAGGAGGTAATTATGGGGGCAATTGAGGATATCAAAGACGGATTGGACCAGACCCAACCCGCGAGTGAATGATCAGGTTGGATGGTAGGTCCAAGCCCAAGCAAAAAGGGTAGCGTAATAAGCCCAACACCCACGAACGAAGGATCGGACCGAACAGTTGAACCCAGCCCATAACGCAACACTGAAAGTCAGGCCCAAAAGGAAGAAAGCCCTTGAATAGGAGCCCTATGTAATAAGTTGGTTAGAGTATTTGTAATGGTCTATAAATAGACCATTACGAGTAGAGAAAGGGGAGGATGATTTTTTAGAGTTTTCATTTTGTTGAAGTGTAAGAATTCTAGAGAGAGAAAGATGAGTGAATCTCTTGCATCTTCACAAGTTGTTGACGAAGTTAATTTCTATATTTAAAAGTGTTTTTTTTTTTTTTTGGAAAATCACCTAATGTTTATGAACTTAAGCTGTATATGTTTTTCATTGCAAAAGAGTTGATTTTTCATTCAAAATAGGTTTCTTTCAGATTCTACATTCAACCATACGTATTATTTCAGATATTTTTGGTTATTCTTTTAACCCAAAAATAAGAAAAAAAGAAAAGAAAAGAAAACTATTTGAGTGGTTTCCAAGAATATTTGTGAAGTATACAAAGTTTTATAAGATTTATTTGCTTTGAACATCCACAAGTCATTACCAGATCAAAGCTATTGATAGTCCTTGCTTGTTTTCGTAGTTAACTTGCGAATTATTTTTATATGTATTACCTCAATTTTGATGCCATGTTACAGCATTGTTTATACAGTAACATCTAATTCTTTGTTAGTCCGAGCTTATGTTTCTTTCAGCACACATCAAGCATGTGAGATTTGGCTTATCCTACCAATTGTTGAAACATCGAAGGCAAAACTCTTAAAGTCAATTAAGATGTGGAGTAGTGGTGCTACCGTCTATTATTTTTAATTTTCAGTTGTTATTTATGCTCTTTATGTTGTTACTGTATAAAATATTTTTCTAAGAGAAATTATTGATTGCTTACAGGCATTCTCCTGGCCAACGTGTGGAGAAGTTTGAGGATCTTCATCGTAATGTGATTGTACAGGTAATTGATGATTTGATGCTCCTGCTGTAATTATTTTCAATCCTCTATTGGTGTGAAGGTAATTATTGCACACATCCATTTGTCCCATCTCGTTTGCTGGACTAATTTTCTAAGCTCTATAGTTATAAAAAGTTCCGGGAGACTAGGTAAGATCTGTTTTTTTTATAAAAATTTCTAAGTAACACACTCCTTTTAATTGGATGAATAGAGATACCTTTTGGGCTAAGTCTTGGTGGTGATGAAGGCAATTTCTGTTAATCATTCACATCCATAAGTATTTGCTTCACTTCTTTTTAAAATCTGTTTGTCTTTGTGGATGTTTATCATGTTAAACATTATTAGGATCTACATTTTTAAAATTTCCAAATCTACGCTGATCTACCTGTTTATAAACATGGATTCTTGTCATGTTTTGCTAGTATAGCTTTTATTATTTGCAAGAACCTCATATTCATTGTGATAAATATGCTTGCGTTCTACAAGCCCTAATTAGCCATTATAATCTCTCCAGATGGCAAAAAAATTATAGGAAATTTACGGTCACCTCCCATCGAGTACACCATGCTCCCCTCTAATTTAGATAATTACGCTTGCATCCCATGCAAGTGATGGGCGTCAATGCCCGTTACTGAAGTATATTAAATTACTATCAGATGTCATATATGCCCCTTGCATGATCTCCAATAAACTTTGATTGATTGAAAACAAAACCTATAACCGATATTTATTGAAAGCAAAATCCATCGTTCCAAGAAACATCTCTCTCACCATATAAAGACAAACTACATTCTCTATCTGCTGGAGAGGATGGGGTTTTTGGTGTGAGATGGAGGAGATGGATTCAATTTTGTATTTCCAGTGCTCGCTTAGCAATGCTTATGAATGGAGCTCCGACTGGTTTCTTCTCTAGTTTGAGGGTTTTGAGACAGGGGATCCGCTTTCGCCTTTTTTGTTCCTTATCGTGATGGAGGCCCTTAGTAGATTATTGAGTAGGGTTGTTGACTTGGGTTTTCTCAGAGGCTTTAGGGTGGGCAGGGATGCTGCTAATCAGTTGGAGATCTCCCATTTGATGTTTGCGGATAACATTTAGTGTTTTGTGATGCGGATGTGTCCCAGATTAGATATCTGAGATGTGTTCTGATTTGGTTCCAAGTTGTCTCCGGGCTCAAGGTGAATGTGGGGAAGAGCGTTTTGGTGCCGGTTGGGGAGGTCCCTGAGATCGCTTCGTTAGCAGATATCCTTAGATGTTGTATTGGTTCCTTTCTCATCTCTTATTTGGGTTTACCCCTTGGATCATCCTCAAGGTGTGTAGGGAGTTGGGATCCAGTTGTGGAAAGATTCGAGAGGAGACTGGCGGGATGGAAGAAGCGGTACCTCTGCAAGGGTGGAAGTGTCACTCTGATAAAGAGTACCCTTTCAAATCTTCCCACTTATTTCCTCTCTTTGTTCCGGATTCCCTTTTCTGTGGCTGAGAAGATTGAGAGATTACAACGGATTCGGTTTTTTTTTTTTTTTTGGGGGGGGGGGGGGGGGGGGGCAAGTTTCATTTGGTACGTTGGGAGCAGGTGTACGTTGAGGCTTGGGCTCTAAAAGATTGGTGCTTTTTAATAAGGCTCTCCTTGGGAAGTGGCTCTGGAGGTTTGGGCTGGAAAGGCAAAGGCTTTGGAGGAGGGTGGTAGCGAGTAGATTTGGGGAGAGGAGAGGAGGGTGGAGCTCTCTTGAGGTGCGTATTCCAGTGGGTATCGGGGTTTGGAAATTCATTCGGAAGGGGTGGGATGGTTTTTCCAAACACATTAGATTTCGGCTCAGGGATGGTAGGAGGATCAGTTTTTGGGGGGACGTTTCGTGTGGGGATCGACTTCTTGCTCTCGCTTTCCCCTGGCTCTTTAGGATTGCCACGCATAGGCAGGCCATGGTGGTCAACTGTTATCGCCTTGATAGCGGGAGATCGTCTTGGGATGTTCGTTTCAGGAGGCATTTTCAGGATTGGGAGATTGAGAATGCCATTGGTTTTTTGGAATTGCTGTATCGCCAGGAGATCACGGGTGGAGATTCTGATGGTTGGGTGTGGGCCCTTGCTTCTCAGGGCCGTTTTGATGTTCGATCCTTCTATAAGTGTCTTACGGAGGTGCCAGGGGCTCCTTTCCTGTGGAAGGTGGTTTGGAGCTCCAAGGCCCCCCTCAAGGTGGCCTTCTTTGCTTGGACGTCTGTTTTAAGGAAGATTTTGACACATAATAATTTGAGGAGAAGGAATCAGGTGATGGTCAACTGTTGTTGCATGTTTCTTCGTGTTGAGGAGATGGTGGATCACCTACTCTTGCACTGCACCATGGCTAGGGACCGTTGGGATTTGATGCTTGGTTTGTTTGGGGTTTAGTGGGTCATGCTCAGATCCTCCAGATGGTTAAATGAGGCTTAGAGAGGTTATACAGTGGGGGTCCATGTCCGGGATGCTTGGAAGGTTACGCCTTTGTGTGTCTGGTGGTGTATTTGGCTCGAGAGGAACAGGAGATCTTTTGTAGGAAAGGAGAATCCTATTTCTATGCTTAAGTTCTCTGTTATCTCCACTCTTTTTTGTTGGGTTGTGGGGAGCAATTATACATCTTTAGAGGAGATTGTTTATTTTTTGGACTCTTTGAAAGTTTAGAGGCCCTTTTTGGCCTTCTATTGGGCTTCGCTCCCCTTTTGAGCGCTTCTACATAATTGTCTTACTTATCAAGAAAAAAAAAAGTAAGGTAACATGAGAGAAGTTCATGAAGGTTTTCACCATTGCTTTTTATGTCAAACAATTCATGTGCTTTGATTATCTCCTGCATTGATCTTCAGGCTTCGAAAAATGGGTCTGGCAAGTACGTCTGAATTGCTACATCTCTGGTGACGGATGTGTCAGATTTCGGAGGAGAGTCATCTACTGGAAAACAGAATTGGAGCGTTTGGGGAGGAGAAGTGTTGATTGGTGAAAACGCTGACAAAGTCGGGAGTGGATTCGGAATCATTTTAAGCTTAAATTTTGATGACATCATAGTTGGCCAGATTTGACCATTAGTGGGACTGACGGTAGGGAGCAATTTGTTACAAATGCATTAACTAGAAGGGATATAATTGATATATTCAAACTAGAGGGGAGGTATGTGTAATTTTCCCTAAACTTATTAGGAGAAATAGCCAGAAGACCATGTTAAGGAAACAAGTTAAACAGCAAAGGTGCATGGCCCATTTAAATCATTATTCTAATGCAGTAGACCTTAAAACTTAAGGCATTTCATTTCTTTGCCATGTTCAAAAGTGCTGCTGATTGCTAAACTCGGTGTCCTGGTAACACCACATGAAGATGATCCAGCTAGGTATACTTTGACTTTGACAATGTTGTCTGGAAATTTTTTTTTTGGTGATATATTATAATGTGCCAACAGCACAATAATTATCCATTTTGTTGCGTCAACAGAACTTGATCAATAATATTTCTATGTTGTATGTCTACGATATTACTTAAGAAAGTTGAGCAAAGATGAATTTAGGTTGGCCAATGTGTTATTTTTTGTCGACAAATATCACTTATATACTCATGATCTGCTCTTCTCATTTTGTTTTATTTTTTTCCCTCCTGGATTCATTAGGGTTATGTTAAGAATGTTACACCGAAAGGATGTTTCGTTATGCTCTCCCGGAATATTGATGCGAAGATTCTCCTCTCAAACTTGTCTGATGGCTATGTTGAAAATCCAGAAATGGAATTTCCTATTGGAAAACTTGTAATTGGCAAGTAAGTATTTCTGGTAGTTACTGGTATTATTTATCTATAAAAATTAGTTACAACAATGTATTAAGATGATTCACCACAGGGTGGTATCCGTGGAGCCTTTGTCCAAGCGAGTTGAGGTGTCCCTTAAGACATCAAGTGCAATCCATGCTCCAAAATCTGGTATAAATGATTTAAGTAATATCCGAATTGGGGATGTTATTTCTGGCAGGATCAAGCGCATTGAGCCGTATGGTTTGTTTATCACAATTGATCACACAAACATGGTGAGTAATTGGGTACTTTTGTAAATTTATTCTTATGACTATCAAATATGTACTTTGAGTAGGATTTACCGGGAAATATTTTAACATGTAATTATGTCCCAAGACATGTCCTAGGCAATGAATCAACTCAATTAATTGTAACATTTGTCCATCGACTTTTGTCAATGACAAATTAAGCTATAAGATGATATAATCATCATTGCTTTTATTTTACCATCATGTAGCTTGAACTGGTTTGTTAGTGGGTCCCAACTCTTCCTTGGTTATGCTACATGTAGTGGTCTCCAATTTGAAACTTCAAAATCAACCTATTATCTTCAGGTGGCAAAATATAACTTAGTGTATTCATTATAGATTTCTATGTTTACTGTTTTGTTCTTTCTTTGCCTAGGTTGGGTTATGCCATGTCTCAGAGCTTTCTGACGATCATGTTGACAACATTGAAATTAAATACAGAGCAGGGGAGAAAGTGAGAGCAAAGATTTTGAAGGTAAACACATTATATGTAGAACTTTTCTAATGCATCATTTAGTATTTGTTGTGTTTGATTGCTGGTTAGTAGATTGGTTGTAACTCATGGATAATGACACTTCATTGTAATTGGTAGCTTGTATGAGAACAAGGGTACATGATCAAAAGGGTAACTTCAATGAAAGAATTTGAACTTATGGCAGTTTGAAAAACTTAGCCTTTTACTTTGGCAATGGAAGGCCGTAGTATTGATTTGTTCTGTTTTTTGATCACTCAACAGGTGGATGTGGATAGACACAGGGTTTCCCTCGGGATGAAGGATTCATATTTTAGTGATGACACTGGTATTTATGCAGCTTCAACACAAGGGTCAGAGGATGCCAATAAAGAAAATAGTTTCACAATGGCCACTCAGTTCCCAATGTTGCCAGACAGCATCTCAGCTGTAATCCAGAATTTGGGTATTGAAAGTGAAAATAGGGAGCATCTGATTCTTGCTGAAGTGGAGGCAAGGGCTTCCATTCTTCCGCTTGCAGTACCTCTTGATGATACGGAGAACTCAGACATGGAAAATATAGACTTTCAAAATATAGAGAATGTTGATGCAAACCCCATGGATGAAAAGAACAAGAGATTGGCAAAAAAGAAGTCCAAAAAAGAGAGGTAATGTCGTTATTTACTCAGGTTCATTATCAGTTAATTGAGAATTAGTTATCTTCAGTTTTACCATAATATTGAAAACGTTCTACTCAGGGAACAAGAAATTAGTGCTGCGGAAGAAAGACAGAGAGAGATTCATATACCAAGTTCTGCTGATGAATTTGAGAAACTGGTTAGAAGTTCCCCAAATAACAGCTTTGTCTGGACAAAGTATGCGGAATTTATGGTCTCTCTGGCTGATATTGAGAAGGCCCACTCAATTCTTGAGAGGTATTCATTTAATTCTAATATTACTTTCTTATTTATTGTAGGAGCAACAAGTGACATAATATAATGTATAACAACTGGCTCATGCGTATATGAGAATACGTGATCACTACAAATCAGGGAGGCTGAAACGGTAAGGAGGGAAATAGAAGATATTATTCTCCATTGCAAGATTTAAGGAGATTTGGTGTAGTTGCCAACAATAGAAGATATTATTCTCCATTGCAAGATTAAAGGATGATTCAGAAAATAAATAAGAAGATTTGGTGTAGTTGCCAACAATAGAAGATATTATTCTCCATTGCAAGATTTAAAGAGGATTCTGCTCCGTCAAATCTCAGATTTCCCCTTTAATATTATTTCACGCATACTTTATTTTTATTTTTATTTTGACTTGACTATATAAAGGCAAGAGATTTAAGTCTGAGTCATTATTATCAATATAATTTCAGTTTCTCTCTTGTGAGTGTGTTCTCTGTGAATTCAAGGGCTTAACCCTGTTCTTTATCGTTTCTGCTACATTAGTTGGTATCAGAGCAAGGTTCCAAATCCAAGATTCGCCTTTGTTTCGATGGTCGGTTCACGAGATGGAAGCAACCCCTCCAACAATGGTGATCGTGATGGAGTAGCTTTTTTGAAGGCTGAGTTTACTGAGTTCCAGACTAACGTTAATCGAACCTTACTTGATATGCATGAAACTATGCGTCAAGTATTGGCGAGATTGACGACGGTAGAACTTGACCGCGAGAACAACAGGCTGCCCAACGACGGTGATCATGGACGTCCTGTTGGTAATCGCAACCCAAACCCACCGATTAGGCAACCAGCCTATGAGGAAAATGTCGGTTTTGGTAACAACCGAGCCATATATGTGTTTGGAGATAATCGAGGTTGATGGGAAATTGATGATTCCAGGACCTACCCACCTTTCAAGGTCATCTTCGTATTGAAGAATTCTTGGACTGCATTAGTGAAGTTGAACATTTCTTTGACTATATGAAAATCCAAGAGGAGAAACAAGTCAAACTAGTGGCCTATAAGTTGAAAGGCAGCACATCAGCATGGTGGGATCAAGTGCAAACTACCCTCGCACATGAGGGTAAAGATCCGGTGCATACATGGGTTAAGATGAAGAAGTTGATGAAAGCCCTATTTTTACCCCCTGATTACGAGCAGGTTCTTTATTAGAAATTTAGAAATATCAATCCTGCACACAGGGAAGTAGAATGATTGCTGAATATGCTGAAAATTTTTACCGGTTGTCATATCGTAACAACCTCTAGTGGAACCCGAATTTACCCACGCACGCGATGGTAAAGATCCAGTACGTACATGGGTTAAGATGAAGAAGTTGATGAAAGCCTGATTTACCCCCTGATTACGAGCAGGTTCTTTATCAGAAATATCAGTCATGCACGCAGGGAAGTAGAACGATTACTGAATATGCTGAAGAATTTTATCAGTTGTCATTTTTTAACAACCTGGTGGAACCCGAATTTAGCATGGTGGCCCGTTTCAAAGGCGGGTTACGATGGGATATTGAAGAGAAAGTGGCACTGCAATCGCTATTCAAATTGTCTGAGATTGTCACGGTGGCAGAAAGAGCAGAATTGCACTGGAGAAGTCGAAGAATCGGCCTCGTGGTTCATATAAGACCCCACATCCTACACATGACATGGGTAAACCGACTACGGTAGCCCTTGTTCCAATGACATGGCGAGGCATTGGAGATGGTCCATCAAAGGCCAAAACCGCAACACCCATAGGCCCTGTTGGAAGGGGAGCCCCCGCTGTGAGAGAAAATCCCTATGCACACCCAAGTATTAGCTAGTATTTTCGCTGTGGAGAACCTGGCCATAAATCCAACAATTGCCCTAAGTGACCGATAGTGAATCTAGTCGAGCATGAGGAAGGCGGGGGCGAGGAAGGTGAGTTCCTTACCTTTAAAGGAGAAGAGATGACTAAAGGAGACAATGGCGAGTTGTTGTCCCACTCTTTAGTCGTGAGGAGGTTGATGTTCACGCTAAAGAAGGAGGAGCATCCGTAGCGTCATAATATGTTCGTACACGTTGCACTGTCAACCATAAGGTATGTGACGTTATTATTGATAGTGGCAGTACTGAGAACATTATTTCCTTAACAATGGTTCGAAAATTGGGGCTTAAAACAGAGAAACTTTCCTATCTATACAAAATTTGATGGATCAAGAAAGGCTCAGAAACGCGAGTAACTAAAACCTGCACCGTTCCATTCTCAATTGGAAAACATATGCAGAGGAGGTGAGTTATAATGTAGTCGGCATGGATGCATGCAATATGATCTTGGGCAGACCATGGCAATTTGATGTTGATGACACTCATTGTGGTAGAGACAATGTGTATATTCTATACAAGAATGGTCAGAAGATTGTTCTGGGTCCGCTGAAAGAAGTCGAATTTCCTAAAGGAAATTCAGTTATGTTGATTGACAGTGAGAAATTTCTGGGGCGTAGTAACAATAGTCCTAGAAATCTTTGCTGTTATGTGGGGGAAGTTGTTGAACAACCCATAGTTGTTAAAGGCTCAAGGCGCACTAAGGCGCAAAGGTGCCTTGGAGCCTGAGGCGCAAGGCGAGGCATGCGCCTGACTGAAGCGATGCGCAAGTTGAGAAAAAAAAATAAAAAATAACATCCAATAAAGATGCAAAATCATGTAAACCAAATACATAAGTTTAATAATCAACATGCTAACATAAAGATGCAAAAGCAAACTAAACCAAATATTGGCGTTCAATAGTCAACATAGTAACATAGTAATTACTAACATAAAGATGCAAAAATCAACTAATTAAATAAAAAGTAAAACAAACATAGAAATGTTCACTTCATCAGTTCATCCTAACTCCTAAGAAGACCACCAAAGGATCTAAATATTATCGGATCATCCTCATCATCAATAAACATAGCACCATCTTGATCATCACTTAAAAAGTGCAACAGGCATTTTCACAGCAAAGAAAAAAAGAAAAAAAAAAAGGCATTCACAGGCCACAGTCCAAAGGAAACAATAGCAGGCATGCATTTTCATAGCTAAAAAGCCTAAAATATCAGCATTTCACAGGCCACACTCCAGATGAAAAACTAACAGGCATGCTAATAATTGATAGCTAAAATAAATAAATAATTAAAAAAGAGAAAAGCAAGAGCAGAAGGAAAAAAGAAAAACAGAGAAGAAGAAGGAACAAAAAAAAACAGAGAAGAAAGAAGGGGAAAAAAAAAAAACAGAGAAGAAAGACAAAATAAAAAAAATAGAAAAGAAGAAGAAGAAGACGCTGGTTGCCAGAGAAGAAGACAGACAGAGAGAAAAGCAAGAATAGGAGGGAAAAAAGAAAAACAGAGAAGAAAGAAGGAAAAAAAAAAATAGAGAAGAAGAAGAAGAAGGAAAAAAGAAATCAGATAAGAAAGAAGGAAAAAAAAAAAAAAAACAGAGAAGAAGAAGAAGAGAATAAATGGTTACCTGGTTGCCGGAGAGAGAGCTTGCCGGAGAGTGAGAGAGTTTGACAAAGAGACCCATAGCTCCCAAATATTTCGTACAACAATTGAGCCTAATTTGGGTTCCTTTACTTTTTTATTTGGACTGGTCTTTTAACTTTTTTGGTGGTAGTGGTAGGGACCACCCACCATTTAAAGTTACTTTATCACATCAGAATTTATTATATAAGAAGAAGAATGCGAAGTCTGAAATTCTGAATACAACAAATGTTTAAAAGGCAAAAATTAAAGGAAGAAGACAAAGGCTCACCTCACCATACTCAAGGCGCAGAAGCTGCGCCTTGATGCGCCTGGCGCCCGAGGCGCACGCCTGGTGCGCCTTTAACAACTATGGAACAACCTCCTTTTATAGTACCAGCAATAGTGCAACCATTACTGCAGGAGTTTAGTGAGTTGGTGTCGGAAGACTTGCCTGATAGTCTCCCTCCCATAAGGGACATTCATCACCACATTGACTTGGTGCCGGGGTGAGCTTGCCAAATCTACCACATTATCGGATAAGTCCCAACGAGAGTCAGATCTTACAAGAGCAAGTGGAAGAGTTGTTACAGAAAGGGTTAATTTGAGAGAGCTTGAGCCCATTTGCTGTTCTGGCCCTACTAATATCGAATAAAGATGGCAGTTGGAGAATGTGCATTGATAGTTGCGCAATTAATAGAATCACTACCAAGTATAGATTTCCCATTCCACGGTTGGATGATATGCAGGATATGTTGGTGGGGTTAAATGTCTTCACCAAAGTGGACCTAACGAGCGGATACCATCAGATCGGAATCCGCCCTAGGGATGAGTGGAAAACAGCCTTCAAAACAAAGGAAGGACTATACGAGTGGTTAGTCGCCGAGTACTTTCATGCGGTTGATGAATCAGGTACTCAATCCATTTATTGGTCGATTTGTAGTTGTTTATTTCGACGATATTTTGGTTTATAGTCAAACAGAGGCAGAACACATTTTGCACTTGAGAAGGTATTAACAACTTTACAGAAGAACAAGTTGTTCATTAATCTGAAGAAGTGTAGCTTTGTGACCCCACGCCTAGTATTCCTCGGCTATGTGGTTTGTACTAATGGCATTCGAGTAAATGAGGAGAAGGTGAGGGCAATTCGAGAGTGGCCTACGCCGAAGAATGTGGGAGAAGTACGCAACTTCCATGGCTTAGCCACGTACTACCGAAGGTTCATCAAGAACTTCAATAGTATTGTGGCTCCCCATCACAGAGTGCATGAGGAAAGGAAAATTCCAATGGGGGAGAGGAAGCTGAGATGAGTTTTGCCTTGATGAAGGAAAAACTATCAACAACCCCAATCTTAGTCCTAGATTTTAAGAAGCTATTCCAGGTGGATTGTGATGCCTCAATAGTGGGAATCGGAGCAGTTCTATCACAAGAAGGAAGGCCAGTAGTGTTTTACAGTGAGAAGCTGAGTGAAACATGCAAGAAGTGGACTACCTATGATTTGAAATTCTATGCGGTG